CCCCAACATCTGCAAAATAAATAAATAAATAAAATAAAAATCTATTTATCAGTTTTCAGCTCATCCCTCTGCACTGCCTCCGAACTGCTTCCCCAGCCCCTTACTGTATTCCTGGAGCTTCTTATCATCCTGAAGAACTCGTCCCTGATAGATGAGCCGTTGTTTCTCAGAGGGGATGCTGACAGAGGCAGCAATGTGCTCCTTAAATTCCTTTACATTCATCTGCAAGAAGGGACAGAGGTGTCAGGGAATGGAGGAAAAGGAAGGACAGCTGACTTGGAGGGGTGAGGGGTAAAAACCACCTCATTATAAAATCACTACCTGTTTCTCATAAGATAATTATGTGCAAAACCCCAAACTAAGACAACTCCCTGTCAAAATACTAACAATAAGCTGTATCTTCTAGGCCTAGGAGAAAATTACATGGCTGAGAAACAGAAAAGCCAACTGATAATCTGTTCACTCCTCTGCCTGGTCCACAAGGGAATGTGTGTCTAAAGATATGACTCCCCAAACACAAAATGATACAACTTTATCTCAAAGATAAAAGTGACGACAAAGAAGATGGGGTAGACAATCAGGTTAAGGAAAGAAGACTCAACCAAGAAGAACGAGAGAAGAGAGCAAAAAGAAAACTATTTTTCCTAACCAGACAACTTACTCTTGGGAAGATTAGGTTTACACACATCTAATCACAAAAGCCTATATAGTTTTCTGAAATACATGTAATGTCATGTTTTAAAAACCATGAGTCAACCCCTCACAATTTTGTCTCCCAGTATTACAGGAGCAATGACACTGATAGTTGTGCTAATGCTGTTAAACTCAAATGATTAAAATTATACCACACATGTTAGTATCTCCACTCAACACTCTATTAGGCCTCTACCTGCTTTATGGGCTCTGATTTATCACCTTTAAAAGCACAGTATAATCCTAACCAATTTTTTGTTTTTAAGACACACTTGCATTTGGGGTCTGTGTATTCTATTTTCCTTCCCAAAGGCAGGAGCCATGGCTATCCCTTTGAGTGGCAGTTCACTCATGATGATGGCATACAGATTCCTCCTTCCTCCATATTCCCCTCTGCATGGAGTTCTATTGTGGAGGAAGGCAGAACAAAACCTAGCTCATAGAAACCATAACTCCTAACTCTCAACAAAACACATTAAAAAATGTTGTCTAGAACATGAACAAAGAAATCAATGGAAGAAAAGTTGAGGATCAGAAAATCAGGTTGTTCTCTCAGGTTAAAGGTCCTAGAGGAGGAAAAGTTAATGGACATCTTCCAGAAGTACTGGGGTCTCACCTGGGCCCCCACAATAAAGGTCCGGGTCTGAGAGTCCAGGGTCTTCACCAGCACCTCCAGGTCGTCAGGCTCCTCCATGGTGGTACTGGTGCTATTGTTGGGCTCCATGGCCTACAGCTCTCTAAGAAAAAAACAGAGAGAGGCCCACTGCCGCCTAGAGCTGATTTTATATACCCAGAAGCCTCCCCGGCCCGAGTCTCCGCCCCAATGCCTGAAGAGTTTCTCCCACACCAGCACACACACACACACACACACACACCACCATCCCCCTTCTGATTCCGGGGCACAGGGAGAGAAATGCAAAGGGTAGGAGACAACGGCAAAGGAAGCTGGAGGATGGGAGGACGGGAGGTGGGAGGGGCCCCACGATGCTAATCCCAAGAGTGGGCCTCACAGGCTAGGGAGCAGGAAAGGAAGGAAGCAAGAATTCCAGTGTCATCACCGGTTGCGATGGGCCCCAGATACGCTGGGACAACGCGAGAAGAGCGGGGTGGGGGGTCGCATTACACTGCGAAGAAAGTGGTTTCGCGCACGCGCACCACGCCCACTGAGCCCACCTAACTCACGAGACCCAAAATGAGGGGACACTCACGGGGGGCCAGACCGGTTAGCTGACTGCCCCCCTCTTCTGCCTTCTTTCGGAGTTCCAGCAGAGCGTCGCAAACACACATCAAATACACATACCACCCCGCGGGTCCACCCCCGACTTCCCCACGGTGCCGTCACTTCCGGTCACCTCCAACCTGCCACCGACGGCCACTTCCGTTTCCCCGATAATATTTGGAGATCGCGAGGCGGAACTTCCGGCTCTCCTCAAGTCCCCAAGCTTCACTTTCGTGGGGCACGACAAGGAAGTCCACGGCCCCAAACAGTGAGTTCCTGAGGGCGAGACGGGCCGGGGCCCGGCCTAGATGGGAGGGAGCCGAGCAACCCGAGGAGCCACCGCCGCCGTCGCCCGGGGGACCGTACTGCGTCTGCGTGCGTCGCATTACGCATGCGTACGCACAGGCACCGCCCCACCCTCGCTAGCGCCGTTCCTTGCTTCCGTGCGCGCGCAGGAGCTTTCGGAGATTGAGGTGGCCACTGTAAATGCCTGAAAAGAATTACCAGAGGAGACTCTAGGACCGCCTCGAGAAGCTTTGGAAGGTTATATAGGTTCTGGAGTTTGGGGACTAAAGATTGTGCCTCGTTCATCTGTGTTACGGTCGTGGCCGGCAGAGACTTTGATGCGGCACTGTCCTGGCCACCTAAAATCCCGCCCGCGCCGCGGCGCCCCTGCGGCGGCCCGGAAGGCTCCGAGCCGGGCGGTTGGGCTGGCTCGCGAACCGTCTTCCGTGCGGTCGTGTCGTTGGGCCTAATTTCGGTTCTGTCCAGTGGACGGTTTACGGAGCGCGGGTGCCATGTTTCTCTTCGGCGGTGCGCGGCCGAGGGAACTCGCTGTTTCTCAGAAGCTAAGGGTTTACTACCTCTCAGGACTTTTGTCCCCCAACAATGGGCCACCGACGTTGGGAGTTGAGAGCAAACGAAGTCCGATCGGACCGAAACGCGAGATTCCGGCCGTGGGGGATTGAAGGGGCCGCCACAGTGTTTCTGCAGGCCGAGGTCCGGGGGATACTGCCCCGCCGCCTTCGCCCCGGCCCTCTGCCGGCCCGGCCCAGCCCTTCTGGTGTTCTCGGTTTGTACCCAGGTCCGATTACTGTCCAGTTCAGGGTTCTACGTACTGTTCCATTTATAAGTCATTCAGCAGGAGATGGCTATTACATCCCCTTTATAAAGTGAGTACAACTAGGGAACTGACAGACCCAGGCTTCCCAGACTCCTCTGGGTCAAGCACTTCTTTACTGCCCCAGTACATTTTTTAGTGTATTTTTTTTTTAAATAAAAAATATCAAACATGCCGAAACTGGTTTGGCTCAGTGGATAGAGCGTCGGCCTGCGGACTGAAAGGTCCCAGGTTCAATTCCGGTCTAAGGGCATGTACCTTGGTTGCGGGTATATCCCCAGTGGGGGGCTGCAGTGTGCAGGAGGCAGCTGTTCAATGTGATGTTTCTCTCTCATAGATGTTTCTAACTCTCTATCCCTCTCTCTTCCTCTCTAAAAAATCAATTTTATATATATATATATATATAAGTCAAACATTACCCCAAAAGAAAATAGTATGCTGAACTCTCCAAATACCCTAAATCTTTTTTTTTTTTTTTTAATAGTAACAGTTTTATTTTATATTTTATTGATTTTGTACAGAGAGGAAGGGAGAGAGATAGAGAGTTAGAAACATCGATGAGAGAGAGTCATCGATCAGCTGCCTCTTGCACACCCCCTACTGGGGATATGCCCGCAACCAAGGTACATGCCCTTGACCGTAATCGAACCCGGGACCCTTCAGTCCCCAAGCCGACGCTCTATCCATTGAGCCAAACCGGTCCCGGCAAATACCCTAAATCTTAAGCCTCACCTCTCAGGACAGACTTCTCCCCCCACCCCCCCAGTCTGTAAGTTATAATTAAGAAAGTCCCACATTTCATTGCATTAACTGCTCCACCCTCTTGGTACTACCGTGTTTCCCCGAAAATAAGACATCCTCCGAAAATAAGACCTACTTACAGGTTTCCTTCTGAGGGAAATATAAGGCATCCCCCCGAAAATTAGGCCCCCCTAGGCTAAACATGAGAGATTTGGTCCACTGATTCTGAAAGAAATGGAGTCACAAGAAATTCACCAGGAAATTCGGGAATTGGATTGTTATGATGATGTTCCAGAAGATGATGACATGATTGTCATTGAATAATTGAGTAAATTCTTGATACTGTAAGATTCACAGTTTGTGTGGTTTGTGTTGACAACTACCGTACCGTATACAGGTAATAAATTTCCTTTATTTTCATTTAACAATAAATGTGTACCGTATTCTTCTTCATGGAAAAAATAAGACATCCCCTGAAAATAAGACCTAGCGCATCTTTGGGAGCAAAAATTAATCTAAGATACTGTCTTATTTTCGGGGAAACGGTATTATTTGGGAATGTATCACCCACCAGAAACTAATAATCACTTTACAAGCATTACTTCAACGAATATTTACTTTGGACTTGCCAGGTATAGGCCTTTGCAAAGGGCTTTATATGCATTATCTCTTAATCCAATGAGATTGATGATTTGCTCATTTTAAAGATGAAAAAACAGGCATAGAAATTGTCTAATTAGAGTTAGGACTTGAACCCACTCTGCCCAACACCTGTGTCCATCTGTCCCCCTTAACCACTAGACCATGTAGTCTCTTATAGTAATAAACATTGGATGAACCGTGTCCATGAGCTTTTCTGAATGGTGTGTATATTATTTCCCTAATTATAAACCAGAGAAAAAGCCACCCATCAGCCATGGCCTGAACCTGGTTCGTACCTGTCCTAAAGCACTTATCAGGTATTATAATGATTTGTTTACACAGCTAGTTTTCCTTAGACTGACTGCTTCAAGGCCAGGGACTATGCCTTATTCATTCTTGTCCCCAGAGCTTAGCCAATTCCTGGCAAACAGCTGGGACTTAAAAAAAAACTTGCTAAGTGAATGAATAAACCCACCTCTCCAATGCTGCACAACAGCATAAAGAGCGCTGTCTACCTGCAGGGCTCACTCTTCTGATAATCCCCCAGACCCTGGACGTGCCACGGTGTGTGGTGGAGTGGCTGCATCTAGAAGAGGGGGAGGAAGGGCCAAACCCTAATCCATGTTTGGAAAACAAGGTTGAAGTTACTCATTAGCAGGTAAAGAGTCAAGGGTCAAGGCAAGGGGGCTGGAAGCAGAGTGGACTGAGCAGCCAGTGGGGGAGAGAATAGTTAAGGCATCAGCCACCCCACAAAGAACATACCAGCTCCCTGTTGTCTGAAGATGTTCCACCAAATTTGGGCAGCTCTGCTTTACCTCTATGGCATTCTCCTTAATTCCATCTACCAGTGCCCTGAGCCCAGTCAACTGACAACTCAGGAAGTGGATGGGAAAGAGGTATGGACTGAGAAGGGGAAGCTTACAGTGGGGGCTCAGAGGCACTTGAGTGGGTGGCCTAGAGTGACCTCCTAGCGGAGGAGGGTGTGAATTTTGTGATGATAAAAACAAGGACAGATAAAAATTTATTAGTACTTTGGCCATCACTGTGGAGACATGATAGAATCTGGGGGTTGGAGGGATACTTGGGTTATTGAGGGCAGGCAAAGAGGGAAAGTCATTTAATGACTCCCTGTTATGGATCCAAGCCCAGTTGGAAAAAGGCAGCTGATACCTCTACATGAAGTCTTGCTGTCCTGACAGGTTGGATGGACCTGCAGTGGGACACACCCTCTTTTGCTCCCCTTGTTGTCTCTCCAGTTCCCAGAGCCCCACCTGGGCCAGTGGCATTTCATCGCAGGGGCAGCTCCCACCAAGGAGGAGTTGGCAACTTTTGACCCTGTGGACAACATCGTCTTCAACATGGCTGCGGGCTCTGCCCCCACGCAGCTCCAGCTTCGCGCTACCATTCGCACGTAAGTGGTGAGGAGGCAGAGGCACCAGTAGGTACAGTCTCTGCCCAAAGGGTGCGTACCTACCCACAAAGAGTTGGGTCCATTGGCATACCCGCTGTTCTTGGCCCACTGAGTCCGACGGTTCTATTAGTTTTCGTCTGACGAGAGATGGGCCTAACCATCCCTTGGTACCGTGTTTCCCCGAAAATAAGACCTAGCGCATGGAAAGATAAGACATCCCCTGAAAATAAAACCTAGCGCAACTTTGGGAGAAAAAATTAATATAAGACACTGTCTTATTTTCGGGGAAACAAGGTATCTTGAAAGCCAAGGTGACCCAGGCTTCAAGAAGGAATAAAAGGGGCTAAGTAAGGTTGATACTGTGTGGTTGGGTGTCATTCAATCTTTCTTCCTTGCCGCCACCACCTCTGCAGGAAGACTGGGTCCTGTGTGCCCCGGGAATGGATCTACCACCTGGCTGAAGGGAGCACAGACCTCAGCACTGAAGGTTGGCTCTCTCCAGCCCGCCCTCTCCAGGCCCCTGGCTTGCTTGTTTTGCATCTCTGTCCTCACACTTCCCCCCACCCATCCTGACAGGCCGCCCCGACATGAAGACCCAGCTCTTTTCCAGCTCATGTCCAGGTGGAATCATGCTGAAGGAGACAGGCCAGGGCTACCAGCGCTTCCTGCTCTACAGTGAGTGAGGTGGCAGGCAGGATGGGTTGGAAGGAGACCAGGAGGGCAGGGGAGGCCCTCCCTCTGGGCCCTGGGATACCATCCCAGGCAGGGCTGGGTGCTTCCAGGCCCTCACCAGGGGTGTTGCCAAGTAGAGGCGCTGATGGGCCTGGCCATGTTGTGCCCTTTCAGATCGCTCACCAAACCCTCCTGAGAAGTGTGTGGAGGAATTCCAGTCCCTGGCCTCCTGCCTGGACTCCAAGGCCTTCTTACTGACTCCCAGGAAGCAAGGTAAGGGGACAAAGTCCCACAGAAGAGAACTAAGACTCACCAAGTCTGCTGCAGGCTCTGGGTGAAAGGGACTCAAGTGATGTCACCAGAGGGCAGACCAAAGGCTATCAGCGTGGCTGTGTCACAGCCCCATTGTGCTCTGGCTGTGATGGCAGCAGAGGAAGCGGAATAGGCTGTGGGCTACTCAAGAGAGGTTTCGGAGCTTGCAGATCAGGGGCAGTCAGGCACAGGGAAATGGCCTCAGAGGCCCCTTCTTTGACAGGGGAGGAATGAGGGAATGCATTCTCCTCACCCGTTACCAGCAAGCTTGCGTCTCTTCCTGGATTTCCTTCCTTTCCATCCTCTTCTTTTCTCCCTCCTCCCACCAGAGGCCTGCACGCAGTCCGGTGACTGACCTGTGGCTTCCTCTGTGCCCCAGCTGTATGTGGTGGGACTAAGACTGTGGTGGAGAGGAGCCAGAGATGCCCTTCCAAGAGTAATAAAGACCGTTTTTCAGTTCTTATCACGTTGGGGTTTGTCTCCAGACATCAATCCCTCTCCCATTTCAAAACTCCCCTGAACTTCCTACCTCCTAAATCTCTAGCTGGGCGGCATCAGGAAGGACCCCGAGTGGCAGTTAACTCACGTGAGTGGTATGCTTAGGACTCGGTGCGACAGTGATTTATTGCTGAGTGAGCAACCCTTAATCCCTGCTTGGGGCTGCAAACTCCAGCGTTTCCCCACACGGCCTGTGTGGGCCGCCTATCCCTGACCCAGTACCACCCAAACCATCCCCACTCCGACTCCCAGAAACACCCACTTCGCAGGCTCCCTCTTGCCTGTGTGCCCCATCCTGCCCCCAAATCCACCCAGCTAGCAGCCCCATTCTACCCTAGATGTCCCAAGATCCAAGGACCCCTCGCCCAACCACCCTCTTAGCCCAGCCAGAGTTCTGCCTGTCCCTGGGGAGCCTTGAAAGGTAGAGAGGGCCATTTAGTCTTTATTCTCCACCACCACATTAAAGAAATATTTTTTGGCTTTTAAAATGTGAAGATGGAAAAGCAAACTTGAAGGTAGGAGAAATATAAAATCAAAAAGTTAACAACAGCTGGTGAATTCAAAGGCTACGCCCCCATGTCCATAATCCCAGACACCCTGAACAGCTGTTCCCTCCCGTGGGCAGGCGGGCGGGCGGGTACCCTCATACTCCGGGGTTTCTTCCCCATCCCTGAGGTCCCTGTGCTTACAGTCTGGGCCAAGCCCCCTACTCTCCTAAAGGCCACACGTTGTCACCCTGGGGCGGGGGAGGGGCCTGCTCACACCCACTCTGAGGTCATAGCCCCTTTCCTGGGTCTCCCCTCTGCTCCTCACCCTCCCTCCCCAACTTATTTCCCCCCCAGTCAGTGGCCTCCTCACCCCCGCGTGGCTCCCGGAGGCTGACAGCCAGCACCAGAGCCTGGAGGAGACCGAAGAGGCAGGCGAAGTGCAGGGGGTGGGCAGTGAGGAGGCTCAACACGGCATGGAGCCCGTGCAGGGCGGCCAGGAAGCACAGCAGCCCGTGCAGCCAGAGGCCCAGAGGCCCGCTCAGGCCCAGCATGTCCAGGGCCGCCCGCAGTGGCCGGGAGCACAGCCCCAGCAGGGCTGAGGCCAGCAGCTCCAGCAAGTGCAGGGTCAGGTTGGTGGAGATCTGCAGACACTCCTCGGGGCCCCCCAGGTACTGCGAGGGAGCCCCTGCTCCCCCACCTTGTGCTCCCCCACCCTGTGCCCCCCGCAGCCAGCCCAGCAGCTTCTGACGCCGGCCGGGCTTCTCCACGGGCGCGGCAGGAGACACTTCAGACCTCCTGGTGCCACCTGAGTCCTCGGGATCCCATCCCAGTTTGGGAATGGCCTCTGCTGCCTCCAGTCTCCCCGACTCTTGAATGCCAGCACCAGTCTTGTCCCCCTTGAGGGAATCCATTCTTTTGCTTCCCAGTTGCTCAACTTGGGGCTCCCTGCTTGGTTGTGGAGCAGCCTCAGAACTACTCCGGGCCCCCGAGTCCTTCCTCTGGGATGGCCCCACATCGCCCATAGTTTCGGGGGCACTGTCCCAGTCGCTCCCTGAGTTTTCAGGGGAGCTATCCACCCGGCTGGGTTCTGGGGTGGGCAGGTCAGGCCTGGGTTTCCTGCGGCTCCAAGGGCGAGGGAGCCAGCCTCCAAGCCGCCGCAGGAACATGGTTGGAATGTGTAATGAACCCCCAAATCCTGAGGCCGCTTCCTGGCACCGTTGGGGCTCAGCAGCACAGCGATGGGCTTGGTGAGTGCTCTGAATTCAGAAGTACATCCAGAGGCGTTCCCCGCCCCACACACGATTCCAAGTCTCAGGATCCGACCAGGTCTCAGGCGCCCGAGTGTCCTCCCTGTTTCCGGGGTTTCTTCCTAGCAAACAGCACACCAAGTTTCACTCACCGAGGCCGCCCACGGCGCCCCCAAAGCTGGAGAGGCCGTGCTCCATCCAAGAGCGAAGGAAGGTGCTCCGGTGCAGGGGTCCTAAGGGAGCTGAGCAGTAGGACGGCTCCCGTGGGCGGGAGGGGCAGGTGTCCCGCGGACCGCGGCCAGCAGCTTCATCCCTTGAATTCCAGGGCTGGCAGCCCACCGCGGCCTCGGAAAGGTCAGGCCACAGCGTCCTCGGAGCCCGCAGTCGTGAGCCAAAGAGCGGGCCTGTCCGGGACCCTGGCGTCCAGGACGATGGGCCGCGGCCTCCCGAAGGCGCAGGAGCCCGGCGGAAGCAGCTGCAAGGACGCGGAGGCCGGGGCGGAGCCGCGGGAGGGAGGGCGTGCGGAGGGCCCGCCCCGCGACGTTTGTGCGCCGCCCGGACGTCAGCGGCCGCAGGGCCGGGTGTCGGCGTCCCGTTTCCGTCGCCCAGAGGCCCGGCGCCAGTGCTGCCCAGAACTCGCCTGCCATTCTAGCCCCCTGCCTCGGGTTCTCCCCCCACACTCCACAACGCGTCCTTGTGTCCATGACTTCCTGAGAGGCTTTTCCGGAAAAGAAAGCTGAGGAGTCCTGTTCCCTGCTCCAGATTTCATTCCGGGGCTGGCACTGTGAGCTCTCCATTTGCCTGGCACCTGGCATAAGCAGCACAAGGGAAAGGGGAGTATGGGGAGGACAATGTAGAGGAATGGGCGGTTTCCGCCGTCAGAGATTTTCAGGTAGTGAAAAGTTTAGATTTGAGAGGCCAGGGCACTGGTGCCAGTTAACAGAGTGCAGGCTGCACTGTGGTAGGGCTTCCCACCACACTGGCCTCTTCCTACAAGCCCATCCCACCCTCACCACCTATTCAGGATCCTATCTTGAGAGGTAGGTGCTCTAGAAAAGGGCTAGGGCTGGCAGGGAGGTGGAGGTGACCCTATCATGCCAACTGCAGGGGCTGCCCCTTCTGGCTCAGGTGGGGCTTGCATGTGGTCCCCAGACTCTTTGGCTTCCCTGTAACAGCTTCCAGAAAAGTGAGTAAAACACACAAGTGGTTGACCATCCTCCTATGCACCAGATCACTGGTTTGATTCCCAGTTAGGGCGCATGCTCGGATTACAGGCTCCATCCTCAGTAGGGGGCATTAGGAGGCAGCTGATCAATGTTTCTCTCTCCCTCTACTTTCCTCTCTTTGAAATCAATACATTTTTTATTTTTTTAATGTATTTTATTGATTTTTTACAGAGAGGGAGAGAGAGAATTAGAAACATCGATGAGCCGGGACCGGTTTGGCGCAATGGATAGAGCGTCGGCTTGGGGACTGAAGGGATCCGGGTTCGATTCCGGTCAAGGGCATGTACCTTGGTTGCGGGCACATCCCCAGTAGGGGGTGTGCAAGAGGCAGCTGATCGATGACTCTCTCTCATCGATGTTTCTAACTATCTCTCTCCCTTCCTCTCTGTACAAAATCAATAAAATATATTTAAAGAAAAAAAAAAAACATCGATGAGTCATCCATAGATCAGCTGCCTCTTGCACACCCCCTACTGGGGATGTGCCCGCAACCAAGGTACATGCCCTTGACCGGAATCGAACCCAGGGCCCTTCAGTCCGCAGGCTGATGCTCTATCCACTGAGCTAAACCAGTTTCGGCAATCAATACATTTAAAATATATATATATTTTTTTCTTTATTTTATTTTTTACAGAGAGGAAGGGAGAGGAATAGAGTTAGAAACATTGATGAGAGAGAAACATCAATCAGCTACCTCCTGCACACTCTCCATTGGGGATGTGCCCGCAACCAAGGTACATGCTCTTGACCAGAGTCAAACCTGGGACCTTTCAATCCACAGGTCAACACTCTATCCTAGGGGTGTCGAACTCAATCAGAGAAGGGGCCAAAATCTAAAATCCAGCCTAAATCGCGGGCCGAATGGTTTACTGAACAGTCATAAACTGTCATTGTGATGGAAACGCAGCAGAGTGCAGTGATGACAGCGCGGTGCGGGCCACATTGCAAGGCCTGGCGGGACGGATTTGGCCCGCGGGCCTTGTGTTTGACACATGTGCTCTATCCACTGAGCCAAACCAGTTACGGCTCAGTACATATTTTTAAAATGAAACACAAAACAAGCAAGATGACTGATTTATTTCTCAACTCTCAGCCCCCCTCTTAAAGGTAAAAAATCTGAGTGTCTGGGACTTGAGCAGACACCAGGAAGTGTAACTCAAAGGGCCCAGGTCAGACACACAAGTTCAAATTTCAACTGAAGTCCAGTGTCGGACTTTGCCAAGGTCAGAACTCAAGGTTCATGTATATCCTCAGATCCCGCTCCCAGGCTTTGTCCTTGTCCTTCCGCCTTCTCTCCTCCCTCCTGCTCAGGGTGGTTGCCTGAGGGGCTCTCTCCCTCCCAGCCACTGCCCGGGTATCCTGAGCCAGGAAGTGTGTGACTCTGGGTTGGGATGGTGGTCTGTATCCTAACCCTTCCTGATCTCTCTTGAGGACAGTGGGGATGGGGTTGACACGGCCCTTGCCCCAAGGGCCCAGACCCATTCCAGGCTCCCATCCTGCCCTCAGCAGCAGCTTGAAGCCTGGGCTGGAGGTAGGCATCCCAAAGTGCAGACTGGGGTTCTGGAGACCACGGGACAGTGACAGCAGGTGAGCGGTAGATGTGCAGTGGTTAGAGTCTTGGAAGTAGGCATCACAGGTCTCACAGTACTGGGTGGACGGGGATTGGGACCTGCAGAGGAAGAAGAGAAAGGATTGAGGGCAGAGAAAGGTTAGGGGGTGGGGGCCATGACAAGGTCCTTCCAGTCTTTCTCAGGAACAAACTGCATTCTTCGCCACTTAACAATCCAAGACCAGAGGGGGAAGTTGGGAAAAGAGATGGTAACCAGACCTCACAAGGAAGGAAACAATAGCTATAGCTAATATTGATACAGTCCTTACTATGTGGAAAGCTCTAACACTTAACATATACTAACCCATTTAATCCTAACAAACCTATGAGAAAGGTGCTCATATTACCACTATTTCTCAGATAAGGAAACTGAGGTACCTAGACATTAGGTTGCTTGCCCAAGTTAAGCAGAGTTAGCATTTAAACCCAGAGTTCAGTTAAAATATGTACACAGGTAATAATTTAATAAAAAAAAATGTACACACAAAGATACTATAAAATATATTAACTTGCTGGAAAAAAATAAAATAAATAAATAAGTAAATAAACCCAGAGCTAGCCAAAACTGGTTTGGCTCAGTGGAAGAGCGTTGGTCTGAGGATTGAAAGGTCCCAGGTTCGATTCCGGTCAAGGGCATGTAACTTGGTTGTGGGCACATCCCCGATGAGGGGTATGCAGGAGGCAACTGACCGATGTTTCTCTCTCATCGATATTTCTAGCTCTCTATCCCTCTCCCTTCCTCCCTGTAAAAAAATCAATAAAATACATTAAAAACAAACAAACAAAAGCCCCAGAGCTCATGCTCGTAACCGCTCTGGTATACTGCCTTATCTATCTACACTGGAGAAGGGGAGAACCCTTCAGCTCCTTGCTGGTGTGAGTGGCTAGGAAGGCAGAACACACTGAAGATGGGCATGGGCATGGGCATGGGCAAAGACTTCCCCTTACCTGCTCCCTGGTCTCCTCGTCTCTCCATGACTCTCTCTGACCATGCGGGCCACCTCAGGGAAGCCTGCTTCTTCAGCCAGCTGAGCAGCATCCCTGCCGCCCAGCTCGCAAACTCCAACCCAGGCAGCTCCCTGGTCCAGGAGATAGCGCACAGCAGCCCCCTGGCCTGCTCGGGCAGCACACATCAGGGGGGTCCACCAGAAGGCATCCCGAGCATTGATATTCCCCCCAGCGCCCCCTGCCTCCTGGGGATCCAACAGCCGCCTTAGTGATGCCAGGTCCCCCTCCTGGGCTGCCCTCAGTATCCGATGAGTCATCTTGTCCTCAGCCTCAAGGGATCTCCTCTGATCATGTCCTCCTGAGGCTTCTGCTGCAGTCTCTCTCACCAGTCTTCTCTTTCTCTTCCTCTCCCTGACAGGCTCAGGGTGTGGTCTCTGAGGTTCAGGGGTGCTGCCCTCATCTCCAATCAAGGCCTCATAGAAGGCCCGGGCTGCAGCCCCATCCAAGGCAGGCTCCAGCTCTTCAGCCTGTGACTGCTGCTGCCCATCTTTCCAGAAGTCACTGGGGTCAGTGGCTGGGGTGAAGGTGATGAGGGAGGGTCTGGACATGGCTTGGGAGAGCTTCAAAAATATGACTAAGCAAGGGGAAGATGAGACCAGCAAGCCAGTCCAGAGACCTGCTGGAATGAAGGAAAGTAGCTTTAGAGTAAAAAAACCTCTCCCGCCTCATAAGTGAAGCCACAACCTGAATCCCTCCTGGGCCTAAGGCAATAGATCACGTGGGAGACAGGGAACCCTGTAGTAACAGACCATGCCCGAGTGAAGATGAACAAAGACTCCAGGAGGCAGTTGCTCAGAGGTACTGCTTTCCACCCCCACTCCCAGCTTCATCAGCAATAAGTAGCAACAGCCTCTCTGAAACTACTTCATCACTCTGTAGGACACGGTTAAGAAAAGCATCCGCCTGACTCTTAAGCCTTCCTCCGTCCTATTGTGAGTGTCTATTACGAATGTAATCTCAAAAAACACCTGACACTTCTCCCAAAAGGAAGTAAATTTGGGGAGAGGCTGCAGTCTGCACCCTCCTGCAAAATGGCGTTACTCCAAGCAAAGTAGGTCATCAAGTAGCCAGACTATTTGAAGACACAAGCGTGGCTGGGGGGAAAAACCCACAAAGATTACTAGAGGATGCAGGCATGCAGAAAGCGCCTGGTTGTTTCCCGCCTGGGACCTTCCCAACAGAATTCACGCAAAGCGCCACGTGCCTAGGCGACGCGAGGACGGAGATCTGTCAGTTGGGGGTCTTGCTTTTACATAACGCCCCACAATGCCCTTCGCCTTCCTCAACGTGGCCCCTGCTCTGAGCTCATTTTCTGGAGCTGGGAAACCACTCTCTGGGTTAAGAAAGGCCCTGGGAAGGCGGAGAGGAAACCTATGGACTATCCAGGACTGGGAAATAACGTCACGCTGCCCTTCACCATTACTTCAACCAGGGTTCGGAGGTCGCACTGAGCGCCCGCAGCAGAAGGCCCCATTCCAGACCTAAGAGGGCGTGGAGAAGTGCAAAGGGACGAACAGCAGAATGGCTGGCACCATCTCAGGTTAGCGCCCTAGGCCGCCCGGCTCTCTCCCCGCCCAGCTCAGCCCAGCGCATCCTACCCAGGTCCCCCAGCAAAACATGGGCCCCGTCGGGGGTCCCCAGGGCGCGCCTGGCACAGGCAAAGGGTTGGCTGCGATGAGGTCAGTCCCCGAGGCAGGGCGCGCGGGGCCGGAGGCTCGCTGTGTGAGCGGGCGGCGGGGAGCCACCCCGCCCGCGTCGTCCCTTACCCCACCGCCTCTCGCCCCGGATCCCGGGATCCCACAACTATATTTCCCATACTCCCCCGCCCAGGAGTGGTACTGGGCTTCCGCTTCCGGTGGCGCCTCGCTGCGTCCCGCCCCCAGCGTCTTCCTGGGGCCTCGCGACACCAGGGTCGTGCGCAGGGCACCTTGGAATTCGTAGTTCGCCTTGCCCTGGCTTAGCCAGTTTCTCCCTCTCAGGAACTCTATCTCCCGACATCCACCGCGGGCCTGACCCTTGGCGCTTGCGCGTTGCCCTCTTCCCCCCGCACTTCAGTTTACACCCCCCACTTCGCCCGCCGCGATCCGGTCCGCGGCCTGCGCTGTAGCCGTCGCCGCCGTCCCTGGGAAGTAGCGACTCCCCTCCCCCACCCCGGCCCCGGCCCCGTCCAGACGGTGAGTCTTATAAGGCCGTCGCCGCGCTGAGTACCCTGTCCCTGGGCTCGGCCCCAGGGGGTCCCCGAGCCTCAATATGCGGGTGGGGAAGGAAGTGAACCCGACGGGACACCCGGAGAGGAAGGAAAGGGTGGCTTGAGGGGCGGAGGCGGGATGTGAGGAGACCCGCGAAAGAGACCGTAGGGCCACCCCCAGGCCATGGGAAAAGGAGGGGCCCAGCTCTTGCTTGGAAAGGATAAACTTGGAACTTTTGGGAAAAGCGCAGGGACCTGCAGAGACCTGCGGGGGTAGGGAGCCCGCCGGGGCCGGCCTTCGGGGGCGTCAGGGCTGTGGGTAGGACGGTAGGTCAAGACCTGTCGGTTTCCGGTGGGACCCCAAAGAATCCTAACCTCAGAGAAAAGGGGCTGAGGTGTAAATAAGAGGAAGTGAAGAGAGGTGCTCCAGAATCTGGGATTCTTTAAGAAATGGTGGCCCACATTCCTCCGTGGTCGGTGGGAGGCGGGAGGTCTCAGAGGCAGGGAGAGCTTGAGTCACACGGACGCTCTTTCTCCAGCTGACGTGAAGATGAGCAGCTCAGAGGAGGTGTCCTGGATCTCCTGGTTCTGTGGGCTCCGTGGCAATGAGTTCTTCTGTGAAGTGAGTTCTCGGCCTTCCTCCTCTGTCCACATACAGCCCGCCCAGATACTCTCCGCACGTTAGGCCTCCCACACCTCTCACCTGCTTCCATAGAAACTTGTCCTGCCCAGGAAGGCCCCCTCAGTGACCCACCAACCTGTGGGGCCCAGCTCCCAGCCCTGCCAGCCTCCAGCCGTGTAATACTGGACAAGTGGATTTGTGTCTTTTTGGTTAGTAAAGAAAGTGAAGATGGTAGTATCTCTCTCCACGACAGCTGGTCTGGCTCAGTTGGTTGAGTGTAGTCCCGTGCACTGAAAGGTCAGCGGTGCCATGGTCGGGGCCCAAGCCCGGGTTGCTGGCTTGATCCCTGGTCAGGGTGTGTACAGGAGGCCACCATCCGTGTTTCCTTCTTCCTCCCTTCTTCCATCCCTCCCTCCCACTTTCTCCCTTTTTCCCTCTCTTCCTAAAATCAATAAAAACCTATTTAGGCCCTGGCAAGGTAGGTGGTTAGAACATCATCCTGATATGCCAAGGTTGAGGATTTGAGCCCCAGTTTGCACATATAAGAAGCAAACAATGAGTGTATAAGTAGGTGGAACAAGAAATTGGTGTTTTACTCTCCCTTTCTCTCTCAAACCAACAAATTTTAAAAAGTTTTAAAAAAGTCTAAGTAAATAAATACATGTCGTTTGGGGGTTTTTTAAGCCGAAGCTTTTATGGGAGGGGGTGTATGTGAACTGAAGATAGAGATAAGTACCTGTGCTGAGTTGGGAGGGGGGTAGAAGCAGTTGTACTGAGGATAAGGCTTCAGTGGAGCGACTTGTTCGGATCAAAGCCAAGAATTCTGTTCCGAGTTCCCTCTTCACCTCCACGTCCTGACAGGTGGATGAAGACTACATCCAGGACAAGTTCAACCTCACTGGGCTCAACGAGCAGGTGCCTCACTATCGACAAGCTCTAGACATGATCTTGGACCTGGAGCCTGGTGAGGCACCCTCAGGCTGTTTTGTGTGTGATGCCTTTTTTTTTTTTTTTATCTTCAAATCCCTATCCATCGGCTTCTTGGTTTTCTTAATTTCCTTTTGGTTTCTGACTCCCTTAACCCTAAATCCCATGCTCCATTTTGATCTCTCACCTGACTTATGACTAGTTTAGTGACTTAACCACTTGTGCTCATACTGATTTTGTAATTCAGCTCCATTCCATTGCCAGTCTCCCCAGCCCTCTTCTTTTTGCTTCTTTCTCCTGCCTTGCACCTTCCGGGCTAGAGTTCCATCTTCCCCATTGATGTCTTTGCATCATGTCTTGAGGGAGTTGGGAGGAGGAGAAGCAGGCGGGGGCTAGAGAGGCATGTGGAAGGGTCAGAGGCCCGGGTTTCTGGGTCAGAGGCCCAAGTGATGGGTGGGGTGAGGCTCAAAGGTGGGTGTTGAGTAGCTAGCAGCTCCTGGGGGTGGGCAGGGCCCTAAGAAAGCTGTAAGACAAGTGGTTGCCTTCAGCCGGCGCCATATTTCAGATGAAGAGCTGGAAGACAACCCCAACCAGAGTGACCTGATTGAGCAGGCAGCTGAGATGCTTTATGGATTGATCCACGCCCGCTACATCCTCACCAACCGTGGCATCGCCCAGATGGTGAGGCTTCTCGGCTTCCACTTGAGTCCTCTGAGGAGGAAGGGAAGCAGGTTCCTCAGCAAGGTCTGGCTGAGGAGCCTCAGACCTGGGCCTGGGATTCAGTCCTGACTGGGAATGGTGCTGAAGGGGGTGTTTCTGGAGGGAGGTGTCACCTCGGGCCGGAAGTGGCTCTGATGGTCTGCAGCCTCCCTCGCTGAGGGAAGGCAGTGGGGGGGAGTCGGGGGCCGGCTGTGCCAGCGAAAGAGGAGGAATGGGCAGAGAAAGGGACTGCCCCTTCTCTCACCCCTCCCAGCCCGCCTGCACTAACGTTTTATTCACCTCAGCTGGAAAAATACCAGCAGGGAGACTTTGGCTACTGTCCGCGTGTGTACTGTGAGAACCAGCCAATGCTTCCCATCGGTGAGTGTGGGGAGGGAAGGTCCTCTGGGGAGGGATGGGGCTCAGCACGTGGGAGCCGGGCGTGGGAGGGAACTTGGGTAGGCCAGGGAGCCTGCGTGCTGAGTGTGTCTGTCTGCCAGGCCTTTCGGACATCCCAGGGGAGGCCATGGTGAAGCTTTACTGCCCCAAGTGCATGGACGTGTACACACCCAAGTCCTCAAGGCACCACCACACGGACGGCGCATACTTCGGCACAGGTTTCCCGCACATGCTCTTCATGGTGCACCCCGAGTATCGGCCCAAGCGGCCTGCCAACCAGTTTGTGCCCAGGTGGGGAGCAGGGACAGCCACCAGGGGTCAAAGGGAGGGCTGGGCATGGTCCTTTTTGAGGCCTGCTCCTCCCAAAGCTAGGCCTCTCCGTGCTGAGGGCATTCGAAGAGTTAGCTGATTGCCTTGTCCGTTCCCTTGCCCATGAAGTGGGTGCTGATAGGACCTGCCCGGCAGGGTATGCTTAGATATGCGAAGTGTTGAGAATAATGTTTGAAGCACCATTTAAACAACAGCTGCTCTTGCTGTCACCTTGGATGTTCCGCCTTAGCGAGGAGCTCCTCAGAGCCACAGCTCAAGCATGGTTTCTCTTCCTGAGCATCACCTTTACTGGGCGGGGGGCGGGGCTCAGTGTTATGGTGAAGCAGGTAGTGCCACAGACATCTGTATACAGACATAGCCTGGAATTTGTGTTTTAATGGGAATTTAAGATACAGACACAAAGACTCTTGTAGGGAGGAGGTTGGGAACTGTTGCCCTTGAGCACTGAGCAGGCCCGTGGAGGAGCTGGGCGGGAGGTCGGAACGTAGGCTGCTGGCAGGGCTGCATGTGGCTCACCTGCTGCCTCTGACCTATGCCCCCCCCGGCCCAGGCTCTACGGTTTCAAGATCCATCCGATGGCCTACCAGCTGCAGCTCCAAGCCGCTAGCAACTTCAAGAGCCCAGTCAAGACGATTCGCTGATTCCTCGCCCCCGGCCCCATTCCTTTCTGCCACCCTCTATGGTTTTTAGTTTAAATTAAAGGAGTCATTATTGTGGTGGGAATATGAAATAAAGTGGAAAAAAGGCCATGAGCTGGTCTGCTGGTGCTTGGGGTCAGGGAAGGGAGGGTTGTGTGCTGGATGCCGGCTCACCCTCCCTGGTTGAAAGCCAGCACAGACATGTGCCCAGTGATTGGGTGATGTTTAGCAGAGCAGAAATCCTAGGACTGGGTATGAAGGTGTGCAAAGTCCCAAGGAAAAGACCTAGAGAAAAGTCAAACCTCCAAGATGAGAAATGTTTGCTTTGGTCTGGAGGACACCGATGTCTGTTTATGCTATAAGGGTCGTAACACTATCAGTTTTGGTTTTACAGGGAAAGCGGTTTGAAAATAAGGGGTGGAGAGAAGCGGGAAAAGGCCCAGAATTGCTGCTTGTGTGGTCCTGTGTGGGCCCCTCTCCCCCGCTCATCTCAAAAGGACGGGAGTCAGAGTTTCAGCACAACAGGGACTAGCTGTGAGGGAGGGCAGCATGTGGTGCTGGACACAGAAGCTCAGCCATGGACCCTGAGGGGCAGGAATGATAGGTGTTTGGGAAGCACACTGGATACAGGCCAGGTCCTGCCCGTCTCGGCCACTGCGCCCACATTCAGAGAACAGGCCTCGTGGGCGAGGGCACACTTCCTCCTGCCAAGTTAATCACTCACCCAGCCCAGTTCCTGCCCCGGGTGGGAATACAACTGCCCACAGCAGCTCCTGCTCAGGCTGTCAAACCCCTGCCGCTCAGGAGCCAGGAGCATGGTCCTGGGAAGGTGGAGTTGCAAGGCACCCCTCAGGCACTGCCCCGCTCCCCAGAATGCCATCATGAAGGCCCCGATGCTCGTAGGTGTGCTGGTCATGGTGGGCTTCGCAGAGGGAAGAGGTGAGTGCGGCCCAGGGACAGGAAGGAGGGGTGGGCTGTGGCCCTGGATGTACAGGTTTCGTACAGGGCGGGGACCTTGCAGTGAGCGCTGCTCGCATCCTGTCTTCCTCAGTGCCTGTTCCTAAACTCCGCACCTGCCACCTCTGCCTCTTAGAAGACCCTGCTGCGGGATGCCTTTCCGGCTTGGAGAAATGCACCATCAGTAGCTCATCCCCATGCATGGTGATCACCGTCTATTACAGTGAGTTCAAGACTCGGGACGGGCTGCTGGTGAGATGGCCCATTGCCTGGTCTACATGAGGATGCTCGGGGCCTGGGGCACAAGAAGGAGAGAGGAGGATCCTGGCAGCTGGGTCAGGAGTTTGGGGGTTGGGGTAACGAGATGGCATTGCTGAAGCTGCCGGTGGAAGTTGGGTCTGGTGAGGGAAGGGGAGAGTTCTTGGGGTGCCAGGTTGGGAGGCAGCAGCTTATGAGCTGTTCTCTTCCGCCAGAAAACAGGGTTCGCTTCCTCATCCGCGCCTGTGGACAGTACAATTCTTACCGCTGCCAAGAAACACGCAACACCTACGTCTCAGAGTACTGGTACCAGGCCCAGTGCTGCCAGTACGATCACTGCAACTCATGGTCCAGCCCTCAGCTCCAGAGCTCCCAGCCTGAGCCCCCTGGTGGGGCCCTGAGCCTGCCCCTGTTCAAGTCCCAGATCCAGTGGTTCTACCAGGCCCTGAACCTCTCACTGCCCCTCCCCCGCTCCCATACTGGGAAGGAGCCTAAGGGCATGGACCCCCTGGCTGCCCTGCCCTTGAACCTGGGCTTGTCCATTGCCGACCTGCGCAGCATATACTTATTCCTCAACAATTCGGGGCTTTTGGTTCTTCCCCGGGCTGGGCCCTGATCCCTGACTTCTTGAATTGCAATCTGTTCAGCATCTCCCAACACCCAGGCCCCTGCTCTGGCCCCGGAACTCCCATCTCTGCTCTGCTCTTTCAGGCCTTCCCTTTGTCCTCTGTCTCTATGGCTTTGGTTTCGTTCCCACTCAGAAACACAGCTAACCCAGTGTCTCCTTCCTCCGGGAAAACAATCTCAAGTGCAGACTGCTGGGCGGGCCTGGGAAAGGCAGCGGCTCCCTCTTTTTCCCACCTGAGTGCCATCACCCCCATCTTCCTGGTCCCCTCTAGTCTGGTCACCTACCACCTCCATTTAGTTCTGGCTGTCTCCCATCCTGTGCTCTCAGACACAGGCCAGACTGGATTTGTAGCAAGGAGGATGCGGGTTGAGCTGTGCAGATCCTGACTGGCTCCTGGTGTCCCTGCCTCCCTGCCTTCCACCCCACTCCCACCCGGGGCTCCTGCTGCCTTTCTCAGCTCTTGTTCCCATCTCTGGCCGCCTCCGCCATGGCCGCCTGCTCCTGATACCCACGTGCATAGGTGCCCAGGGAGGGCAGAGGGAAGAGGGTCCTGCTTTTCTCCGTGCCCCCAGTTTCCCTCCACAATAAACAGACAGGGTTCAGTCTGAGTCATGTTTACGGGTTAGGCTCAGGTGTGGGCAGGTGTAGACAGGTGGGAAAGTTAATTGGGTGTGGGGTTCAAATGATTGGAGCGCCCTGGCCACTGCACCTGGTTTGGTGGCTTCTGGCCTGCCCCAAAGGCCCGAGTCCATCCCAGCTGCTCGCGAGAGATCAGAGATCGGAGCTGAGGTGAAGCCTCCCTCCGTCCGAGCCGGCCCGCAGAACCGCAGAACCGAGGCAGGCAGTCCAGTGGTGTCGGGTTTCCACCCGGAAGAGACGGGAGCAAACCGAAGGGCCAGGGCTGCGCCTCAGTCACCTGGTGCTGAGGGGTCTGCGGTTCCTGCCTTTTAACTTTACATATTTTTTCAATTGATTTTTTTGGAGAGAAACTGATGGTTTTTAAAAATATATATTTTTATTGATTTTGTACAGAGAGGAAGAGGGATAGTCAGAAACATCAATGAGAGAGAGTCATTGATCAGCTGCCTCTTGCACGCCCCCTATTGTGGATATGCCCACAACCAAGGTACATGCCCTTGACCGAAATCAAACCTGGGACCTTTCAGTCCGCAGGCTGATGCTCTATTCCAGGGGTCCTCAAACTTTTTAAAGTGGGGGCCAGATCACAGTCCCTCAGAGAGCTGGAGGGCCGGACTATATGAACTACTAATTCCTACTGTAACACCTCGGCTGCGCTCACTGCCCAAAAAACCTGGCGGGCCGGATCAGACTCCTCTGCGGGCCACAGTTTGAAGACTGAGTCTAATCACTGAGCCAAACTGGTTTCGGCAAAACACTGATGGTTTTAACTGCCTCCTGTATGCCCTCTAATGGGGAGTGAGCCAGAACCCGGAATGTGACCTGGTGCGTGGGATGGCCCCCACCCGCTGCGCCCCTGGCCGGTCTGCCTGTCCATCTCTGAGTTCCACAGCCTCGGCCGGTCTGCCTGTCCATCTCTGAGTTCCACACCCCTGGCCGGGGCCTTTTGTTTTATTTTTGAAAACAAGTGTCCTGGCAGCAATAATTAATAGTCATAACTCCCTTTCTCATGTGTTCAGCATACTGCACATGCCTGCTCTGTGCCAGGCCCAGTGTTAGGCACCAGGACTCAGAAGGTACCACCAGGTCTGCCCTTCAAGGCTCGGCCCAGAGCTGGGGTTGTGAACCCATTTCTCAGAAGCAGTGCAGCCTCGTGCCCGGAGCCCGATCGCTCCCCCGCGGGGTAAGCCAGCCTCTCCTGGTCCCGGGCGAGCACATGCACACGGGGGCTCCACACAAACGGACAGGCCTTCTGTTTTTAAACCTCTGGCAAAACATACAGAACGTGGGCTTTTGAAAACCACTCGCCTATGTTAGCAGTTTCAAGCCGGCATGAAGGCCTCTGGTACCCAAAGCTGCTTCTAGGCACTGCCCCCAACTTGGGGTCGCCTCTGCCCGAGCTGGAGCTGCTCAGCTGGGCTGTGTCTGCTGGGTTTAGTGGCATCATGCATCGTATACTCATGCACACGGCACTGGCCACGTGTCAACTCCGTGGCTTGTGCTCCGGTGGGAGACACCAGTGTTAACGTGTGTGTCGGAAGGCAGTGGGAAGGCAAGGAGTAAACCTGTGTCCCCCTCTTGCTGGGCCCACTCTTCCCCATACTTCTGATTTCGGTATCGGACACAAAAGCCCAAACTGGAAGACAGCCTTGGAGGCCAAGGACCCCAAGGCCCGAAAAGCGTAGAGCCATGGCCTTGAGGGAGCTGAGCTGGGACAAAGCCCTCTCACCCTCCCCCCCCCCCCCCCCCGGGCCTGCCCTGCACCGGCCCTGCCCCAGGCCTCCCACAGTCCCCACATGGCCCGGCTGACGGCCTAACAAGGGTCCGCTGCCTCTGGCCGTCACTGCATCTCCTTCCACTTCCTTTCTGTGCCGAGAGCTGAGTCAAGACACCTAGACAGCGAGCTCAGAGGAGCTGGAAGCCCTTTACCTGTCCCCCAGTGGGACAGCCGGCAGGACCCCTCCCTCCGCCTCCACCGGAAGAGAGAAGCCGTACAGTTTGCACACCAGTTTATTCTGTAGGCACACCTTGCGAGGAGGCCGTGGTGGGAGGAAGGAAGGAGGCCAGAGCAGAGCAGGGGCAGCCGACAGGAGAGAAGGGGAGGGGAGCTGTCGGACGGTGAGGACTTACAGGGAAAACTCCAGAGATGCCGGGAGAGGGAGCTTGTGAGGGGCAGAGTGGGGAGTGCTGAAGCAAGAGGCAACTAGGGCTGGGTCAGTGACCTGGGGGAGGTGAGGCGGGGCTGGAGGTGGTCCTGGCTGCGCCCAGGTGAGGACCAGCAGCATCTTCCTGCGAAGGGCTCTGCGGAAGTGCTACGGGAGATAGAACACTCTGTTCTGTGGGTTATTGCAGAGATTCCGGAAACAGCATCGAGAGAACATCCAGAAGCCAAACACCGGGGAAGTGCGGGTGTGTGAGCAGTCACTCAACTGCTCCTTGCGGCGACAGTCACTCACCATGATGTCAGACCCGCTACCTGCAACAGCGAGATGTGCCGGCAGGGTCCTACCCCCTCCTCCCGTCCGTCCACGGGACTTCCACTGCCCACACCCTCCCCTGCACCCCCAAACACAGGGAGTGCCCAGGAGCAGGAGTCCCCCGCGGAAGGCTGCGAGCCCTCTGAAATATTGTGACAGTTGGAGGGTGCTGAGCTGGGGCTGGGAGAGCCAACAGCCTGAGCGGGGCCAGGCTGCAGGGAGGCTGCTGGTTTCTTTTATGGATTAATACTATCGGGGTGGGCAAAAGTGGGTTTGCAGTTGTGAGTACACCGTTTATTCTTGTATTATTCATTTATTTATTACCGTATTATTTCTGCCCCCCAGCTCCTATATATCAGAGGGTGAAAAACCCCTGCCTGAGAGCTGAGGGGAAGTCACCAAGGTAGGGAAAAATAGCCGTTAAGTTTAAAACGCAAGCGTAGAACTGTCTGCAGGGCTATGCCTGTCTGTGGGGGAGGAGGAGAGGTAGGGTGGGATGCCAGAAAGATCACAGAAAGGGGAATCCAGACATAAAAAGAGTGGTTTTTGTTTTCGTGCATAGGAGCTGGGGACCGGGCCAGGCGCAGGCAGGGACTCGCTGTGGGGAAGGGTGCCACCGCTGGGGCCACCGCAGGCTGTGGCTCAGCCTCGGAGCCTGACAGGTGTGGGCCTTACCGGCCTCGGCCCTCAGCGGGGGAGCGCCTCAGAGGCTGTAAGTGCTTAGCACAGTGCCTGGCCCAGAGTTTGTGTCAGTGTTTGTCAACGTTTAAGGCAGTGAGGGGCGGTGGCAGAGCGAGCATGAAGAACAAAGAGTCAGACATTTTGGGCAAGTGGAAAGTTGTGGCGAGGTGTCCAGAGGGCAATTTGATGGCCAGTGTGGCCACACTCAGACTCTGTGACGTGGCTGTGCCAGGGAAGCAGAGAAATTCCTCTGGGAGAGCGAAGCGGAAGATAGCCAAAGCTCAGGTTTCGGTGAACATGAACGCTTAAGGGTGAAGGAGACTGAAGAGGTAGCTGGCCATCTCCAGGCTGGCGCCTGCGGAGGGCAGGACACGGCCGTGGGCTGGGGGCAGGGTGGCGGTGGAGTCAGGGAATGCTCTGGAGGAGAGAGCGTCTGGCATGGGGCAGTGTCTGGGAGTTGGGGTCTGGGCCCAGACAGGCAGAAGGCAGCTTACTGTTCTTGATAAAGAGAGTCATGCAGCTGCTGCCAGGAGCGGCCAGGCAGATGTCCGATCCCAGCAGGCACCCCAGCTCCTTGGTCTCCAGGAGGCACCGATAGCAGCGCAGGTATTTGGGGGACTCAGCTGGAGAAGGGGGCTTTTGATTGACAGGGTCAGTTTTACCTAGAACACAGACAAGCTCTGACCCCATGCCTCCGCCTTCCAGATCAATCCCGCTGTTCCCCTCTCCCATCTCAGAAAGCCATAAAATCACCAATTTTTAAAGCCATCCGGCCCAGCCAGTGGTTGAGATTTGGTCCGTGAACAGGAGGTTTGATTCCAGTCAAGGGCACGTGCCTGGGCTGCAGGCTCGATCCCCAGTGGGGGCCATGCAGGAGGCAGCCGATCAATGATTCTCTTTCATCATTGATGTTTCTGTCTCTCTCTCTCTCCCTCTCCCTTCCTCTTGGAAATTAAAAAAAGAAGAACAAGAAGTAAAAACAAGAATGCATCATCACAGGACAGGAAGACTCCGTTTCGTGCAGACGAGATTTCAAGCAGCCCAGGGCCGCATTCTCACAGGACAGACTCATCAAACTGTCCACCGAAGCCCTCCCACACACATGCATATGTAGTTGTCTCTTGGGATCCACAGGGAATTGGTTCCGAATTGAGACAAAAATCTGCTCAAGTCCCTTAGATAAAACTAGAGGCCCGATGCAACTGCGGGGCTGCTTCAGCCCTCGCAGCCCTGGCTTGGTCCAGAGGGTCGTCCGGCTGTCTGGTCTAATTAGCATATTATGCTTTCATTATTATAGATGATGTAGTGTTTGCATATAACCTACATACATCCTCCCGAATACTTTAAATCATCTATAGATTACTTGTAATACCTAATACAATATACTAGTATATAGTTGTTATACTATATTGTTTAAGGAACAAAGATAGAAAAATGTCCGCACATGTTCAGTACAGACACAACCACCTTGGGCCGAACTATTGTATAATACATAGCACACACCAGCAACACTATCATTTAAAAAGTAGTTTTCATCCTCGTTTGAATCAAGGGATGCAGAACCCGCACATATGGAGGGCCGACCGTACATCGATCTCCCTCCGGGCCCGGCCAAGACCAGGTTAAGGAGCCCCAGGCCCAGCAAATCACTTGGTGTGAGACAAACGCTGACCAATGTTTTGAGTCCTGTTTCTATGGAGATAGTGCTTTGCAGCCAAGTGAGGAGGCTGTCAGGCTGCTTCCAGCCTCTTCCTGCCCTGTGGGTCCTGGTGCTGCCATCTGGCTTGCTCCCCAAACCCTATTTTGTGTTGCCCTGAGATTTAAAAAATATATATTTTTATTGATTTTTTACAGAGAGGAAGAGAGAGGGATAGAGAGTTAGAAACATCGAGGAGAGGGAATCATCGATCAGCTGCCTCCTGCACACCTCCTACTGGGGATGTGCCCGCAACCAAGGTACATGCCCTTGACCAAAATCGAACCCGGGACCTTTCAGTCCACAGGCTGATGCTCTATTCACTGAGCCAAACCGGTTTTGGCTGCCCTGAGATTTTAATGGGTTCCCTTCAGTATCGTCATTCAGGTCTGAATGAGACAACCCTGGGAAGTCACCAGCCACCTCCATCAGAGTGACATCAGTGCATTAGCAATGCCCAGCACTATCCCAGCAAGCCCACTCATCCCATCCTTCCTCCTGCCTGGGCACATGTGCCCCAACACCTGGCACCTGGGGGGTCCCTCTATCCAGCAGGCCTTCGGAGCCCTTTGAGCCACTTACCACACACCAAGCTCATCACGACCAGCACTGTTAAGAGGACCATGTGCAGAGGGTGGGGGGCGCTGTGGAGGCCCAGGGTCCCCAGACGCCGGCTGTGCGTAGGGCCTGCCATAAAACGCATGACTGCCACCAGCCTCCAGTTTGTGCTTATATTGGTGGGAGAGAAGTTGGCCAAGAAGAAGGAGAGGGGCGACACCCCTGTGGGGTGGAAATTGGTGCCCAAATGTCCTGAGGGACAGGGTGTTCTCGCCCACGGCCACCCTGGAGCCTAACTTCCTGGCTTGGGAACAGGAGCCGCAGCCTGGGAGTGAGACAGGAACATTCTGTGTGTGTGTGTGTGTGTGTGTGTGTGTGTGTGTGTGTTATTGGTTTTAGAGAGGAAGGGAGAGGGAGAGAGACAGAAGCATCCATGATGAGAATCATTGATTGGTTGCCTCCTGCACACCCCCTACTGGGGATCGAGCCCAAAACCCAGGCATGTGCCCTGACTGGGATCCAACCGTGAGCCACACCAGCTGGGTTACACCATGTTTTAATTTTCCGTCTAGTAGTCATAGAGGCTGCTTCCTGGTTATCTTTGCAAACATTCCTTTGGGAAACAAGGCTGCTTCGGCACAGTGCAAAGGTTATCTTGCCCAGTTTTAACATTCCAAAGGCTTGAGGCATAAGACCCGCACACGGGCAGTTCCTCTGGGAGGGCAGCTCTGGCTCCGTTTTAAAGTGGCTTTGTGGGCCAAAGCCAGTGTGGCTCAGCGGTAGAGCGTCTGCAGACTGAGGGGTCCCAGGTTCGATTCTGGTCAAGGGCATGTGCATTGGTTGCGGGCACATCCCCGGTAGAGGGTGTGCAAGAGGCAGCTGGTCGATGTTTCTCTCTCATCGACGTTTCTAGCTCTCTCTCTCTCTCCCTTCCTCTGAAAAATATCAATAAAATATTTTTTAAAAAGATTACATGCACTTTATTTAAAAAAAAAGATACAGTGGCTTTGTGGGCATTCACACATTCTCGACGGGGGAGACGACCAGTAAGCGGTGATGGGGTGGGAAGCACTGGCACAGGGATTTCAGCAGAGGAATAACAGCAAGCGGTTCTGTCTACAAGATTCTGAGGCGGGAACCAGTTAGGCAGCTATTCCTGAGCCCAGACACTAGATGGTGGCCTGGCCCTGCAGAAGGGAAGCGGGAAGCCAAAAAGTGAGTGAATCTGAGAGTATTTATTTTATTTTATTTTAAAAATATATTTCATTGATTTTTTACAGAGGAAGGGAGAGAGGTATACAGCTAGAAACATCGATGAGAGAGAAACATCAACCAGCTGCCTCCTGCACACCCCTCACCGGGGATGTGCCTGCAACCAATGTACATGCCCCCAACTGGAATCGAACTTGGGACCTTTCAGTCCACAGACCAACGCTCTACCACTGAGCCAAACCGGCTTCAGCTATTTATTTATTTTAAATGTTTTTCAATTACAGTATATTTTAGAAAAAAATCTTCTTTGTTGAAAATATTACTTATGTCCCCCTTCTCCCCCATTAACCCCCTCCAGCCTACTCTGGCCCCAGACCTTAACCATCTGATTGTCATGTCCATGGGTCCTGCATATCCTAGCTAATAAAAGAGCAATATGCAAATGGACTATACCTCTGCTACACCACAAGCCACACCCACCAGCCAATCAGGAGCTAGTATGAAAATTAACCCAACCAAGATGGATGGAGCAGGAGGTTTGGTTTTCCCCAGCAATGGAGGAAGCCAAACTCCCAGAGGTCAGGGCCTCTACTTGGGCCACCCAGGGCATAATCAGCCTGCAAACCACCACAGGCCCCTTGCCCAGGCCACCCCATAGCCCAAGGGAACCCCCACCCTAATCCAGGACACCCTTCAGGGCAAACCAGCTGGACCCCTCCCGTGCACCAGGCCTCTATCCTATCTATCAATAATAAGAGAGTAATATGCAAATTGACCATCACTCCAACACACAAGATGGCTACTCCCATGTGGACACAAGATGGACACCACAAGATGGGCAGCAGGGGAAGGTAGTTGGGAGGGACCAGGTCTGCAAGGGAGGGCAGTGGGGGGCAATCAAGTCTGCAGGGAGGACAGTTAGGGGTGACCAGGCTGGCAGAGGAGGGAAGTTAGGGGCAACTGGACCTGTGGGGAAGGGCAGTTGGGGAGAACCCAGGCCTGCAGGGGAGGACAGTTAGGGGCAATCAGGCTGGCAGGGGAGTAATTAGGGGGAGATCAGGCTGGCAGGCAGAAGCAGTTAGTGGCAATCAGGAAGGCAGGCAGGCGAGCAGTTGGGAGCCAGCAGTCCTGGATTGTGAGAGGGATGTCTGACTAACCAGTAGGATGGGGCCTAAATGGGCAGTTGGCCATCCTTCGAGGGGTCCCAGATTGGAGAAGGTGCAGGCTGGACTGAGGGACACACACACACACACACACACTGTATGAATTTCGTGCACCAGGCCTCTAGTATGCACACAAGGGTTTTGGTTGCTTACCAACCCACCCCCCATCCCTCTGAGATTCCACACACTGTTCTGCTTCCACGTCTCCAGATCCACTCGGTTCATGAATCGGAGAGCATCGAGAAGGAAGAGGGCAGTTAGGGTTAGACTGAGTGTAAGGTGGGGAAGGGGCAGACTCGCACAGCGTGGCTGGTGGCACCATTCCCCAAGCTGAGACAGACTGGCACTGTCAGAAGTCCAAAACCGAGGACTCCTGGGTCCGGAGTGACTGCACCCAGCCCAGTGCCCAGTGGTTCCAGGAAGCCCGCTTCCCCCGCCCCCCTGCCCGCCCGCCGCGCTGGGCTGCAGGCCAGCGGCCTTGCCTCCGGCGCCCACGGGCTCCGCGCTCCTCTCCGCCTGGCTGCCCACTGCGGCGCGGACCTGGGGGTCCAGACCAGGGCGGCCAGGGCCGGGGCGGGGGCGGGAACGGGACGCAGACACAATGGAATGGCTGTTCCTCACTCGCCCTGGGGTGCGGGCAGCCGGGCACCCACATGGCGTCTGGGGGGAGCGTGGAGGCCGGAGCTGGAAGCCGCCCTCCCGGCGGAGGCGGAGCGGCAGGGAGGCCAGAGGGACTGTCCGGGGCTCCGCGCTCCGCCCCCTCCGCCCAGGAGGCCCGGGGGGCGTCAGCGCTTTGCCGGGGGAGGGCTCCGTGGGGAGGGAGGGCTCCGTGGGGAGAGCCCCGTGGGGAGGGAGGAGCCCCGTGGGGAGAGCCCCGTGGGGAGGGGGGCCCCGTGGGGAGGGGCCCCGTGGGGAGGGGGGGGCCCCGTGGGGAGGGAGGGCTCCGTGGGGAGGGAGGGGCCCGTGGGGAGAGCCCCGTGGGGAGAGGGGCCCCGTGGGGGGGGAGGGCTCCGTGGGGAGGGAGGAGCCCCGTGGGGAGAGCCCCGTGGGGAGGGGGGCCCCGTGGGGAGGGGCCCCGTGGGGAGGGGGGGGCCCCGTGGGGAGGGAGGGCTCCGTGGGGAGGGAGGGGCCTGTGGGGAGGGGGGGCCCCGTGGAGAGGGGGGGGCCCGTAGGGAGGGAGGGGCCCCGTGGGGAGGGAGGGCCCCGTGGGGAGAGCCCCGTGGGGAGGGGGGGGCCCGTGGGGAGGGAGGGGCCCCGTGCGGAGGGGGGTTCCGTGGGGAGGGAGGGCCCCGGGGGGAGGGGGGGCCCCGTGGGGAGGGAGGGGCCCCGTGCGGAGGAGGGCCCCGTGGGGAGGGAGGGCCCCGTGGGGAGGGGGGGCTCCGTGGGGAGGGAGGGCCCCGTGGGGAGGGGGGGCTCCGTGGGGAGGGAGGGCCCCGTGGGGGGGGGCCCGTGGGGAGAGCCCCGTGGGGAGGGAGGGGCTTCGTGGGGAGGAGGGCCCCGTGGGGAGGGGGGGCCCATGGGGAGGGGTTCCCCGTGGGGGGGGAGGGGCCCCGTGGGGAGGGGGGGGACAGTGGGGAGGGAGGGGCCCCGTGGGGAGGGGGGTTCCGTGGGGAGGGAGGGGCTTCGTGGGGAGGGAGGGCCCCGTGGGGAGGGGGGGCCCGTGGGGAGGAGGGGCCCGTGGGGAGGGGGGCCCCTTGGGGAGGGGGGGCCCCGTGGGGAGGGGGGCCCCGTGGGGAGGGGGGCCCCATAGGGAGGGAGGGGCTCCGTGGGGAGGGGGGTTCCGTGGGGAGGGAGGGGCTTCGTGGGGAGGAGGGCCCTGTGGGGAGGAGGGCCCCGTGGGGAGGGAGGGCCCCGTGGGGAGGGAGGAGCTGCGTGGGGAGGGGTGGAGCGGGCGGGCAGCGGTCGCCATGGTGACAGAGGGCCCGCCCAGGACTGGCCGCTGGAGGACGCACAGGGAGGGGCCCGGCAGGGACCGGCCTGCGGTGTGAGGAGGGACTGGAGAGGGATCCTCAACCCGAATGTGCACTAGGGCTGCGTCCGAAGGGAGCCGGGCGGCTTGTTGATGGGCAGGGGGGGCGGTGGGGTGGATAAGGGACTGGGCTGCCCCCCACCCTCCCGCTGTGACAGCTGCGAGGGGCCTGGCGGAGAAGGCGCAGGGCCTGGGCCAGTAGACGGCAGGGAAGGGCTGCGCGGCCTGAGACCGCCTCTTCTCCCCAGGGTTCCCGCTGGAAGCGCCTCTCCCCTCCCACCGCCGCCTCTCTGTTGGCCCAACTGCTCCACACCTGGGGCCGGCCGCCGGGCCCAACAGAGCGACGTGCAGAGCCCCAGCGGGTATGTGTCTGCATCTCAGCCGGTCCTGCCTGAGACTGCTGCCCCCGCCCCCCCCCCGTGGGTGAGGGAGGGATGGGGCTGCTGCGAGCTTACTAGGAGGGGAGTGACTGGGAGTAATGTGAGGGGGAGGCTGAGGCCCATGGGTGGGGAGGCCCAGGTTCAAACGTTGAGCCTCTCCTCTCCCACCTACCTGAGGTGCCCAGGGCTCCTGACACTCAGGGTTCTCTGTGCAGGAAGAGGGGAGGGAGGGGGTGCTAGGGGCAGGGCAGGCCAGGCAGGGAGTCCTTTTCCCCAGGGTGTGGGGGTGGGCCTGGGTGCCCCATTTGCATTTAGGGAGGTTCCCTTAGCTGAACAAAAGCTTGGATTCCAGGGGATTAACTTCTGGGGGATCTGGGAAGGCCAGGTTCAGAGCCAGGCACCGGTCCCAGGTCCCACAGCCCCGGGACAGACGGAGGAAAGGGTGCCACCATCAGCTCTCCCGTGTTTGCTAAAGGTGGTAAAGGTGGAACATTTTGGAGCTGTAGTCACCTCCCTCCTTTTAACCCCAAATATCAGATGTAGTCACCCAAGTCTCAGATGACCCCACCTGCAGGCGCAGGGTGCCGAGCCGGCAGGAGCAGACACCATGCCCTGGGCTGGGAGACACTGAAATTAGCAAGAGGC